GATGACATGGAAAAGATATGGCATCACACCTTCTACAACGAGCTTCGTGTCGCTCCAGAAGAACATCCCGTCCTCCTCACCGAAGCGCCCATGAATCCCAAAAGTAACAGGGAGAAAATGACTCAGTATGTCCTTGACCTCCTGCTTGATCATCATTAACATGAATCTCAAGGATAATGTTTGAGACCTTCAATACCCCAGCCTTTTTTGTCCAAATCCAAGCTGTCTTGTCCCTTTATTCCTCTGGTCGTACGACCGGCATCGTCATGGACTCTGGCGACGGCGTGACCCATGTCGTCCCAATCTATGAAGGTTTCGCTCTCCCTCATGCCATTATGCGGCTCGACATTGCTGGTCGTGATATCACGTCCTACATGGTCAAGCGTCTCGCTGAACGTGGGTATCAATTCCGCACGAGTGCAGAATACGAGGTCGTTCGAGATATCAAAGAGAAACTGGGCTATGTCGCTCTTGACTTTCAGCAAGAGATCGCTACTTCGATGTCCTCGTCGGCCATCGAGAAGAACTATGAGCTTCCTGATGGTCAAGTCATTACCATTGGCAATGAGCGGTGCGTTGATATCATCTTCTATTCCAGTTTTACTGACAATTGAGCTAGCTTCCGAGCCGCTGAAGCTCTATTCCAACCTTCTCTGGAGGGACACGAGGAACAAGGCATCGATGGTATTGTGTACGTCTGGCTCGAACCTTTTCTCAGCCTCTTTAACAAGCCCTCTAGATTCAATTCAATACAAAAATGCGACCTCGACATTCGACGAGACCTCTATAACAACATTGTTCTTTCTGGTGGTACGACAATGTTTCCAGGTATGGCTGAAAGGATGCAGAAGGAAGTCACAGCGCTGGCTCCTGCGAACGTCAGGGTATGTATCTCGTCATTGTTCCTGATATTAGCCTTTGAAACAATTCGTGCAGGTCAAGGTCATCGCACCTCCGGAGCGCAAATACTCTGTCTGGATTGGTGGTTCCATCTTGGCCTCCTTGTCGACATTCCAGAACATGTGGATTTCGAAACAAGAGTATGATGAATCTGGTCCGGGGATTGTTCACCGCAGTGAGTCTCTTTCACCGAAGACCGCGACTGTTGCCTGACCGGGCCTTTTTCAGAATGCTTTTAAATGGCTGAATGGGTGAAAATCTGAACTTTTCTATATATTATATTACAGCTACACTTGATATAATCAAAACCATTGTCAATTTGGTACACAATAATGAGCGCTGGACTTGAATATTTGAATCTCGACACGAAAATGACTTTTGACATGCTGTGACCTAGTGTGTCACGTTGCAGCGGCCTCCATTCCACCGCGACCTCCCAAATCTTGCCCAGGACAATCATGTCTCTTCTCACCAGAGGCAAGGCCCTCTTCTCGCCCTCGAACCGCAGATTTCCTTCTGTCGTCTTCTTTCTCGTCCATGCGGCCGTCTATTTCCTATGGCTTACCGCAGGCGGATTCTTTACCTGGAGACCAGCCTGGCCGGCCCTTCGAACACAGCTGGCTCTGTTAATGATAACAGTCCCGGCTTGGGCTCTGTTTTTTACCATATGGACCATCTTGGCTGTTATGCGCCGAACGAGACGCGCTGGGGCATACGAGCTCTATGACGACGACGACCTCAAGTGCCCACCGAGATCACTTTCTTACGCTCTCCGACGTTCTGGATTCTATATATTTGTATTCGTCATGGGGCTTTGCCTTCTGGGCAGCTACCCATCGCAGACAAGCTATAGGACACCGCCGAAAGGTAGCGAATTTGATTCGGTGATTCTTCTAATGCTAATGTGCGTATAGAAAAGGTTTACATTGCGGCCATGTTTCACGATAATCAACACGTATTGCCGTATTGGATACAGCAAATGACCAAGGTTATTCATCATTTGGGCAAGGTGCGTTTTCTGAACCTCGTTCGTCGCTATCCATTGACTTTATTCAGGATAATGTATTCGTTTCGATATTGGAATCTCATAGCAAGGATTCAACACCAGCATTGCTCGAAGCTTTTGATTTGCAGCTTGCTGCCTTGGGGGTTCCACGACGTATCATTGTTCGCGACAATTCTATACCGAGACCGAGCAAAATGGACACAGAACCTCCACGAATCGAATTCCTGGCAGCGTCGAGAAACAAGGTTCTAGAGCCATTGTTAGAGAAAGGAGGGTACCAACGCGTTTTGTTCAGCAATGACGTGTTCGTCGAAGCAGACTCCGTGCTGGATTTGCTGGGTACTCGGGATGGGAACTATGACATGGCCTGTGGTATAGACTTGGCATATTGGGGGTACGCTCTATTTTCTCTTTTACCTGTTCATGCTGATTTGGATTCCAGAATGTACGATGCTTGGGTCCTGAGAGACCGCTTGGGTCGTATCGCATCCTCATTGTGGCCCTATCTTTTCGACGACGAAGGCAAGCAAGCCGTGATGAACGACGAACCAGCAGCGGTATTCTCCTGTTGGAATGGCATTGTTGCCTTTCGTGCCGACCCGGTTCTACCAGATCACCTCCGGAATGTATCCAATCTCACCTTGGCGCCGCTCAAATTCCGAGCATCGACTCAAGATGAATGTTTTTCGTCGGAATCATTCAATTTCCCTTACGACCTTCGACGACGCTTTAATATGAACGAGATATACATGAACCCCCGGGTCATTACATCGTACCAATGGCGTCTATATTTCTGGTTCAAATATGTGGTTAGGCATTGGCTTATCGTCTGGTGGATGAAGCATTGGGAAGCGGGAAGCGGAATGCTGCGGGCCAGGACGATCATTGGAGACGAAAAGGGGATCTGGACATGGGATGGGGGAGAATGTCAACCAGTCAGTCCAGCTTCTTCATTCGCGATATTGGACTAATGGAATTTAACAGTGGCCCAAGAAGGTGTAATGCCTTGGGGACTGCTCAGCTTTTCGCAGAGTCAACCTTCGTCCAGGACGCCGAACGTCGGCCTTTCATTAAGCCACCCATGATAGGCGCTGCGGAGAGCGAAGCATCGCTAGACAGCAGCCTTTTCCTTATCTGGTCTAGAAACCGCTCCATTTGCTCCCTTGAAGCTATGGGAGCGAAGAGGGAATTGTGCTTCGCTTGTTTCTGTCTGTCAGGCCAGGCTCTCCTAGATGACTCTGGAGTAGAAGTACGTATCGCAATTGCATCCTTTTGAATTCAGTCAGGTCCCAAGTGCGAGTCTCCGGATTCGCGCAGGCGATAAGGTATATCAGATACTGCGGAATCACAGGTAGTACTTTATCAGAGCGAATCGTGTGTTTTCTTTTCTTTCTTCTGCTTTCTCCCTATGACTGCTACGGCTATCATTACGCGCAACCCGCGCTATGCGATATCGCTTATCGTTTCTTTGCTTTTTACTATTGTCTTTTTGCTTCACGGTTCTGGATTCAACGGTGGTTATTCTGATATGGGGTCTCGCAATTTATATGGGCCTCCATTCGGAAGACACGGACATCATGGACCAGAACATCACCATGGACCTTCTCGTCACTTCAGGCCTCACCATGAGGAAGAATGTCGGTATTTTTTCTCTTTTTACCTTTCAAAACTGATGATGATTTTCATAGTTTCTCACCACGGACCTCCTCATGATCATTTCAGACCTCACCATGAGGAAGAATGCCAGTACAGTTTGTTCTGTTGAACTTGATGAATTGACGATGACTTTTACAGTCTCTCACCATGGTCCTCCTGATTTTGAATTCTATCATGGACCGCCTGGTGCTCATCGTCCACCACCTCCTCATCACGAACATGGCGACAGACCTTCAGAGATTTGTAGGGTCTCTGTCTTATTTGCATTCGGAAGCTGAACAACATCTACAGTCTTTCCTCCTGGCAGAGATGACCGAGAGCACTGGAGACATCATCATGGACCACCGTCTAGAGAAGATTGTCATAAGGGCAAAGGAGACAAGCATCGTCCCCCACCGCCGGGTCATTTTCCTCACGACAAAGGCCCCCATGGTATCTGCTTCATTTATCCTTAAGAGCAAAACTTACTTGGATATCGAACAGGACCTCGTCCTCCTCACCATTGTATCGTCTACGCCATAGGTCTGTTCATCTTCGTCACTTGGAGATTACATTCTGACATTACTATAGGTGCCGTCGATGCTCCTGGTTGCACAATCTACAGTGTATGTCTCGTTTTCTCTCCACTCTTCTCCCAAGCTTACTTTCGTATCTAGCTCTCCGAAGAGGACGAGGAAATCGGTCTAATTGCTCTCATGGCCAAGAATGGTCACAAATTCATTGATGTTCTCAGTGTCGACGTCGAAGTGCTCCAGAAGATCGTCTTGGAATTCGAACCCGATGAACATTTGCCCGTCAAAGAGTTGCGCCTTACAGCTTCGGGGACATATACATTGCTCGAATTGGTAAAGCTCGAGAAACTTGGGTTCAAGATGTTTAGAGGGCCTCGCGTTGAAGTCGATGGAGAGACCGAGGCAGTTCATGTGAGCCGATTTTACCAGAATCTTACTCTTTTTTTTTATCGCTGATTCACCTTTTTAGATCTCATTGTTCAACATACGCCGTCATCGCAAGGAAAGACATTATTTTGCCAAAGATAATTAGATGACGGATGATTACTTTTTATACATACTCTGTTCCAAGTATCATGCAAGTTTATCTTGGGTCTTGACGACATCGGAAGGATGGAAATTTCGAACCGGATCCCGCAGACGTCCTTCGGCCATACTGTATGGACGACTTTGGCAGCTTGGGTCCTGGAGCGCGGGCTTGCTCCGAACCTATCTTCCATCCGTCAGTGACAGAAATTGAATATGACAGCCCAGCGCTGAAGCACTGTAAATTCTAGAACTGTCTCAAAAGCATACCTATTGGTAGGTTCACAGTAGGAGATAGAGCTCATATCAATATGTAGGGTGCCAGCCTGTCTGTCGGTTGTGTGGCTTGCAAGGATTGCAGCTCGCTTGTCGGGCAGCAGCAGCGACACGGACAAAAAAGTTACACCAAAGGGGAGTCGAACCCCTGCCGCTTGCTAACACACAATGGAACTTTATATGGAAGGCAAGCATGATAACCGCTTCACCATTGGTGTGTACATTATTCTGATCATTATCTGTGTTATTTATCCGGGCTGCTACAGAACACACTCATGTAAATGACTATACAACCTTGCAACCCCTGCGCAGTGCGACGGGATGAACGAACTGCGACACCTGACCCGAGTAGAAGCACGACCCCTGTGACTTTCCACATCAAATCAATTGGCTCGTTTCGGACGTCGGGCGCTGATGTGCCATAAGCTCGTGTGAACCAAAAAGGCCGAGCCAAAGATAGTTTCCGTATATGGTAAAAGCGGGAACGAGTGATGGGTACTCTTCCCGCACCTTCGGAACGACCTGAGTTGAAAAGAAAAGAAAATATTATAATATATGACAAATGTTTACATGAAAAGAATAGAAGACTGCCACTAGCGCTGGGTCGGTAACTCAGGCCGATATCAGATGACGCATCCCGTTGAGAGGCGCGAAGATGTCCGAATCAGGACGTGTGGCTAATCACAAATTGTCACAAAGCGTGATGTGTGCTGTGTCGCTGTTTGTATATCCTTCCCCTGCGCCGAGCAGATTTCCATCACGCCTTTGCCCTGGAGCTGACATTGTGGCGCGAGGGCTTGGTGGCTGACCCTAACCCTAACTATGTCACGCGACCTGGTCGCGTCGCTTATTGAGCGGATCTGGGGCGTCACAGAGGCGTTCAAAACGTGCTAGAAGTGTCTCTCGTGGATACATAAGACATTTCTGTATTTCTGCATTTTGGACGTCCTCAAGCTACCCTTTGCTCTCATCAAACTATTTTTGGAAATTCAAACTCAGAACAATGGGAAAACGCCTTTTTGTTGTTCGGACCAATCTGGGACTTGGTCATTGTGTCGGCGGCCAAAGTTCATCAAGAGGTGTGTCTTGTTGGTCTACGCGGGGACTACTGTATATAAAGAGACACGGTCGACGTTGAACTGATCCATCTCCCCCTTATCCCTGTTTATCGCGCCAGTCGTCGATTTTACGCTCCTTCTTCCATTTACTTGCAGCATTCTCTTGAGCAAACTTTAATCACTATGCTTGCGTCTCTCTTTATCTCAGCACTATTCATTATCGCATCGTCTGCTGCGCCAACGACCTGCAAGCCAAAAGCCATTCCAGCGGTCGGCGGCGTCACAGCGACGCAGCTTGCGCAAATCGTCCCAGATATCACTTCATGTGCTTCTGCCACCGATGAGTGCAGAACAGCGACTCAAGCTGTTCCCTTTATCAACAAAGCATTCACCGACTTTAACATCACTACAAGGGGAGAGAAAGCTGCGCTTTTGAGTCTGATGTTATTCGAGAGTGGAGGTTTCAAATTCAACACGAACCAGTGAGTCAAAGATCATCTTTCTTCATTGAATGTTCTTGCTGATTATCTCTATAGGTTCCCGGCCCCTGGAAATCCCGGTCAGGGTACCCGCAATATGATGACTTTTCCATTCATCTATCAGTATGCTGTCGACACCCCATCGACGTCGACAGAAGCTTTGAAGATTGCTGGAACAGATCCCTCGAGTCCTTCGATCACAGCAGATATTAAGAACCAAGTTAGAGCATTGGTTCTCGGTGATGATCTTAGCTTTGCCAGTGCGATGTGGTTTTATACACAGAGCGGCGCAGCAAAAAGTGGATGCACTGGCGATGCAGCTTTGGTGAAAGGATTGCAGTCAGAATCACAAGATGGATGGGAAGCTTTCATCACGAGTTGTGTTGGGACAACTGTCACGGATGATAGAGAAGCGCTTTGGGAGAAGACTTTGCAGGCGCTTAAAGCTTGAGGCCTGAGATATTGTATCCGTTGTTGTATGTATCATCATGTCATTGTATGTAGAGTACCATTACATTCTGGAATCCAGTTATAGTGGATCCATTTCAAAGACGACTTCTCCTTCAGGACTGGGTGAATGGCCGTAGCGCTTGCAGGTCAGGCTCCATTGGATGTTTCCAACGACAGCGTCCATCATTCGTGTGATGTACTCTGCCAGTTTTCTGTCGGATTGAATCCCAAAGGAGGGCAATTCACCCTTGGCACGATCAAAGTCGGCCAAGAGATCGACGACACGCTTATAGGTGTAGTCAATTGCTGCTTGTCTGTCTCCAGCGGCAACCGACGAGACAGGGTCCTTCATCGCCACAGTCACGAAGTTGTGCCCAGCCCCGCTTTCAAAGTATTCCTTCTTGTATGAATATAGATCCTGAAAGGTCTCAGTGATGAATCAGTGACATTACGAGGGCTTACGTTGGAAAGAGAAACCATATCCACTGTGATTTCCTCAAGCTTTGCGACAAGAGGAGCAGTCAAGACGTCCTCTGGCAGGTCAAGGTTCCACGTCCAGCGCCCCAGGTCAAAGAAAGGTCGCAGACCAATTGAGAGTCTCCGAGCGTCCATATATGCTTCTAAAGTCAGCTCATGGTTCGGATTCTCGCGATCAGCGGCCTCTTTAACGACGCCTTCAGCCAACGAAATATTGCTGGCAATCAGATAGGGTCGGTATTGGGCATCGATAGCGCCCATGACACGAGATGCGAGACTGAAGGGATGATGAATCAGAGTTGAAGATGTGACTGATAAATGAGGACGAAACTGATTCATTACCCAACCAAGGCCTTTAGCCTCGTCTTCGCTATCTTGTTTTAACGCGTGAACGAATATATCGGCCCATTGCTGGGCTTCAGCTGTCGTCGCCGGGGTGTCGCTGACCAGTCTCAAACAATCTCGAAACAGGCGCGCAGAGAGTACTCACGTCACTTGCTCCAGAATCAAGAACAGCATCATGTATTCGAGACAGACCTTTAAATGATCTTTGTCCGAATCTGGAAACACCCTGGTCATCAGGAGAGGCAGTTCGGCGCGTTTCCAGGCCTATACTGGTGAATAACCTGCAGAAAAGATGGCTGAGCCAATACCTCTTTATGCTTTTCTGTGAGAAAGGACGCGGCATCGATCCAGGCGACATAATCCGCCGTCAGGGCATCCTGGTTCGGATTCTCGGGCTTCAGGTAAGGCTGGGCGCGAGGAATAAGACCTTTCATAACTAGAGCCAGAGATGCCCACCTGAAGGATGGTCAAGAGACTCGGAATGCGATACTGGACCATGAAGGCACAATGCTACAAGCGGAGGCGACGACTAGGCGACGGAAATATGAGAGCCAGCCGAGACCGGAGAAACCCGCAAGGCTTCTGATGGAAGAAGCGGCCCACGTGCGATCGATTTACTATCAGTTGATTTTTTCCCACAATATCCAGGCTTTTTTTCAACGTCTTTTTCAACCCTTTTTGGCATGTACGCGACAAGCTGGTCATGGTCTCTCTGTGTCCTCGCGATTTGCAAGCAACATTGCAGTAGATTGTAACGGTATGTGTGGTTATTGTGTGAGACCGACTGGGCGTTCGACAGTCATCAGATTTAATCACCCTGGTTTTCCCCATTCAGAGCGGCAGCCTCAGGCCAAGACAAATAGCAACGCCCACATATTCCTTCCTTTCCCTCTTCTATCATGTCGAGCCCCGCTGCCCAAGCTGCACAGCTTGCTCTGGTCGTCAAGACCGTAAAACAGGTCTTTGGAACATGCTTCATTGGGTTCACCATCGCGACGACGTAAGAGCTTAGAGCTCACGTCCAGTTTATCCCGCCATTAACCGGTTTCTGCAGATTATATGGCATAACGGTGCTGCAAACGTATATGTACTACAGGACCTTTCCCAAGGACAGCAAAGGGACCAAAGCGATCGTAAAAATTTTCATGGCTCGATCGCGTTCGTACTGACGGTCGTTTTTCCCAGGTCGCCTTGCTGGTGTGGGTTTAGGCTGTCTACCACGATTTCCTCATTTGCTAATCGATGGATATTAGGCTCTTGGATTCCCTGACGACGATATTCGTCGCCCATTCCTTATACACCTTCTTTGTGCTCAATTACAATCTCAACCCCAAAGTGAACCTCGTCATTCCGTGGTACTAAATCCTTCGTCTTACCTTGCGGCTTTGATTAACACCTGTCCTTGTTTTTCAGGAGTTTCAACGTGAGTTAATATCTCGATTTATCGTGCCGCATGCATTGACGAAATCATTCCTTCCAGGCGGAGAAACTACTTGTCGTATGTATTCTTTTGCTGAGACCAGAATCGTTCTAAAATGACTTCAGACCTTGATTACATTCATTGTGCAAGCGTGAGTCCATCTCTCTCCATGTCTGAACGACGATTGAACATTGTACAGTTTCTATGCTCGTATGATCTGGAGAGGTAAACCGTTTATTCGGTGCGTCTGTGTGCTCTCTGACCCAGCTTAGTTAGCGAAAACCGAATAATACCTATCATAATTGTACGTCCTGCCTCAAGGCATGATCTAACCATCTCTAATAGCCCTTTTCATGATAGCTCGTCATCGCTCTGGCCGCTTTTGGTGCGACGACTTCATTTATCGTGTCGCCCACTGATCTGATATTCTTGAACAGCATTGGGAATTGGTGGGTTCTCCCACCAGATATCTGACCATGCTGACGATTTCCATAGTTACCTCGGAACATCTGTATGTCTCGGTCATTCTGGAATCTTTCACCTTTGACAGCAGATATCAGCTTCAGCAACCCCACAGCCACCTCAATCTCCGCCCCAAAATTCTCGGTGCGTCGCAACGGCTTGTTTACGAGATTTCGGTGAATCTTTTCTACAGATTATGAGCGGTCTGGTGCAAGGATTGGCTTCCTTGGATGATATTCTTATCACTGCCGCCCTGTGCTACTTTTTGCACAGTAGACGTCGCGGATTCAGTAACTCGTACGTATATTAGATGATTCTGCTGGGAAGCACATTAAGGATCATCCATAGGACTGAAGCCATCCTTGATAACCTTATTCTCTACGCCGTCAGTCGAGGTAAATTGGCAATGCTCTACTACTGTTGACCATGCTAATGCTTCTCTAGGTGTTCTCACTGCGTCTGTCGTTTCGCCTTTGTGTCAGGATAAGTGCTGATTCCTTTACAGGGTTACACAGATTCTCTTTCTT